CTAGTGTGACCCACAATCAACACGCGAACCAACAGCACGTTACTCTATGTAGGCATCCGAGTGGGAACGCCACATTAAGAAGGAGCCACTAACCTTGACTCTCAGCCCGCAGGCAGCCACTCCACACAACAAGATACACAGTGGACCGACGATAGTCTCCAAGTTATCCCGTTAGTTGACAACCCTCCAAGCCACAACTTTTAGCACACCACGATCGTTTCAAACGCATCAGATTGTTCATAGCGAGGAAAGACATATGCTGAGATTCGACCTCACACTTTCCTTCCCCACCAGCAACAATGCACCGCCTAGCTCATATACTAACAGTGACATAACATGAATGAACACGTGTAGAGCTTAAGGCAAACGTAATACAAACAAATACAAATAGGCCTCTGTCTTATATTTTACTTGCATTTTCAATCGGTGCTTCAATTAATGCTTCCTTCAAAAACCACTTGTACTTTCATATGCATTAAGAAAATACACAGGTCAAAAAGCTTTTCAGTTTACCAAGTATTCACTCATACTTACTATGAAAACTATTCAAATGACAAACGGGCCATGAGAGAAGCTCATAGAATACCATCGTGCTTCCGTATTAGGCACATATGATCCCTTTAATCTCGCGTAACGCGCAATAATGAGCACGCTTAACGTTCCTTAATTTACCACGAGTTAAATCTTGCACAGTGAACGACCGATCAATTGCCGATACGATATATGACGGAAGGTTGTAGAACGGTCTTCACCATTGGCACGCAATGGATCAGAATGCTCCTGACCGCATAAGGCACCAAATAAATAAAAAGAAGTTTTAGTAAAAGATTTATTAGCATGGCAAGCATTGTGTTTGTTCGCCGAACGGCATCTCCTACCTTACCTTTTTGATCTTCCCTTCGAGCTATAGGAAAGTTATTTAATATCTCAACTGCAGCCGTGGTTTGCCTGCCTTTCAAGCGGTTTTATTTATGCGTTTCATAATTTGCATCCTCTCAATAAATTATCTTCCGTAATATCACATTTGTAAAAGTCAGAATTTCAGGATAAGAATAAGAATTTATTTTCTGCTCACCGGAATAGATTTGTGGATATGCTGACGTTTCGGACAGCAAGACCTGCTGTCCTTTGTCGAAGCAAATATTGACTTTATCGACCACCAAGTTTAAAGTTGCGACTGTGCGTGTTGGCCTTGGGCTGATTGATTTTTTCCGGTCACTGTTTGGCTGTGCGTGTGGACTTAGGCTTAATGTGACGGCAGTTGGTTTTCTCTTTCGTCCCCATGGTAGATGATGCTGGTAATCCTGCTCCCTCTTCCGGTGGTTTCTTCACAGTGCCTTCTTCTACTGCAAGTCCTGACTTCCGTTTGACCATGTCCTGTCTTTCACTTACGTAATGGCCTAGGACTTTGTAGGACGCAGGGAGGTCCACATGCCTGTTGACAGAGTTTGCGGCTGAGTACCATGCATCAAGCGTCAATCCTTCAGCTTTTGAGGCTCCTCGGCCAACGATGGTCGTTCCTTGAATATTGAAGTTGTCGCCAGTCTCTCCGATATGTGTTGCAAGATGTGAGTTAGGGTCTGGTCTCTGGGTCGCCGCTTTGTGTTCCTGTAGGCAGTTCTACAATCTTCGCTCTGTTTCTCCAATTTAATTACAGTCTCAGTCGTTGCAACATATTTCGTAGACAACTGCGGAAGTTTCAGCAGGGTGCAGTGTGTCTTCAGGTTGCATCATTCGGCGGCGAATTGTCACCTGAGGTCGATAAGCTATGCCTACTCCAGTGACTTGTAGCCGTCCAGATACTGCTTTGGAGACTTCTTTTATGTAGGAAATGGCTTTCCAGACTTCAGGTTGCTGTTTTGCTGCCCATCGTCTGTTCACTCGGCGCCTGCTTTGATATTGTTGTTCCACTCTTTTGTCAGCTCGTGTGCTGCAATCTGCCTCAATTCTTTGGAAAAGAGTACGAAAACAGCTACGTTTGTGAGACAGAAGGTGATTGCCGTTGAAGTGGAGTATTCGTTTCGTGCTGGTGGCTTTTCTGAATAGTTTACAGTAGTCCAGCAGAACAACGGCGCACCAGGATATCGAGTAATTATAGTTGTTTAATTCTTTCCGCTTCCGCTCATCTACAGTTCCTGACAGTAGGCTCAACGACAACCTAGCTTCTGCCAGACAGTTACTTGAACGAATAAACTATCTGAAGTTAGAGCCAGACGATTCCATGATATGCGTTGGTGTTGTAATGGCAATTGATGTTGTGA